CCCTGGGGCGGGGGCTAGCAATGGGGCCATGGGGCCCACTGCTGCACCAAGGGAGCCAGCATGGTGCGCAGCCCTCCTCAGCACCAAGCCCGGCCAGGCACAGTGGGGACGTGGGGCTGGTGCTCAGGCTTGCACAGCGCCTGCCTCCAGGCTCTTCTCCTTCACTGGAACATCTGCAGCGGGCTGGCTCGGCTCCTTGGTGAAGGCCAGCTCCGCGGGCTGCTTGTGGCGGCTGTGCCGGATGCCCACAACAACGGCTGCCAGCAGGTAGGCCACTGCCAGCAACGTGAAGTAGCCGAAGTACACGTAAAACTGCAAGGTGGGGAGAGAGTGATGCCTACAGCGAGTCCCTGGACGTGGCATCCCCACTTACCCACCTCCCACTGCGGGACCTGGCATCCCCGCGAGCCTGCTAATTTCAGATGAGCCCAAGCAGCGGTCCCAGATACCCTACCCCAGTCTGGCTCCCTCTCACTCCTTTTTTCCCCACACTATTCCTGGGACTACCTCAGCAACCTGAGCCGTGGCTACGCCCCCTCCCATCCCTACCTGAGGATGCACAGAGAGGCCCAAGCCCCTCTTGTCAGCCACAATAATGGTGATGATAGTCTTCAGCACAGTGGCGAAGAAGGTGTTGACCCCAAAAACAAGGGCGCAGAGCTCTTTGGAAAGAGAGGTAGCAATCTGGAAACTGGAAAAAAGGGAAGACAGTGAATTCAGTCACTCCAGCTCAGCAAACTCGAGCACCGCAGCAGGAGGCAGACAGGTTTGCCTTGTCCATCCCCTGAGGAGTAGGACCAGGGTACCACTCACATAGCGATGGGCACCAGGAACTGGTAGGAGCTGCGGAAGAGCACGTAGGCAACATAGCACAGCCAGATGTTGCTGGTGGTGTTCATGAGCAACAGCAGCCCTGCCTGGAAGGCTGTCACAGCCCCGATCACCAGCTCGGACCACAGCGTCCAGCGGAGCTTCACGTAGCCAGCTGCAAAGGAGGCAATGGCCCCTGGGGGAGGACAGACCATCGTGAGTGACACTCACACCACAGAAACACAGCATTTCTCCTTCCTGCTGTCCCTGAGCCTGGCAGTACCTATGAGGCTAGTGATGCGTGCCTACCCAACACTGCCAAACCAACCTCGAATCCACCCCGCACCTGCCCCCATTCTGCAAAAGTGCTGCAAGGACCACCATCAGAAAAGGACAGAGCAGGACAGGGTGGGTGCTCCGATCCATCCCCATCGAGTTGTGAGGAGGCTGAGGCAGCGTACCCAGCAACGTGAACGCAGCATCCACCCCTCCGTTGTACACACTGCGGTTGTCCCTGGCAGGGTAGATCTCGTTCCAGAGGATCTGCACATAGTACAGCATCAGGTAGTAGCCGGCTGAGTTGAAGATCCACCAAAGGGACCAGAGCCGGAGCTGTGGCTGCTTGGCCACTGTGCCCAGCTCCCGCAGCATGCGGCACAGGATCGCATCGCGCCAGCGCCGCGTCCCCTCACCGCCCCCTTTGGCCATCTTGTCCATCTCTGTTGCAGCCCCGTTGCAAGCTGCCTCCACCCGGTTGAAGAAGAGACTGCGCTTGGGCCGCTCCAGGAAGAGTGTGAGGATGAGGCTGAAGCTCATGAAGCCTAGGGAGACATAGTTGAGCGTGAGGAAGGAGACGTCACCCAATGTGACACAGAGCTGCCCCAGCACTGAGCTGGCAAATACGCCCATGAGAACAGAGAATCGGGAGTAGCTGGCCATGCGCTGGTAGCGAGATGGGGCGACGAGGGAGAAGATATAGGAGGAGTAGGCGATGCGGGCAGCCATGGTGACACTGTAGAAGAACTCCATGAGCTGCATGGCGAACACAGAGGTGCCACGAATGAGGAGCAACCAGATGGAGATGTGGCTCAAGCTCTGCAGCACCAGCATCTGCTTGTAGCGCAGGTAGTCTGTCAGCAGAAAGATGGGCACCAGCACAGCCATGTAGGAGTATGTCAGCACCGGTGTGATCACGTTGGTCACCTGCCATGTGCAGAGACAGCCTGAGAGCTTGGCACATGCTGCTGCCACCCACGGGCAACATCCCTGGTTGAAGCCCCCAGCTGAGCCCTTTGCCCCACAGCACGCCAGCTGCAGCGGCGTAGCCTTCATGCCTGAGCTGCCCCAACGCGGCCCCTCCTTGGGGAGGAATTCAGCCTGACGCGCGCTCAGCCAGGGGCCTGGCTAAGCCCCAGCAGGCTCCTGCGCTGGGAACACAGCGTTCCCACGGCCGCAGCGCTCCGCCGAGA